GGACAGGTGTGAGGGGACAGGGACAGGTGAGGGTTGGACAGGTGAGATATGGACAGGTGAGAGGGGACAGGTGGGACAGGTGAGGGATGGACAGGTGAGGGACAGGTGAGATCACACAGGTGAGACAGGGACAGGTGAGGGACAGGGACAGGTGAAAGGGGACAGGTGAGGGATGGACAGGTGGGACCAGTGGGACAGGTGAGAGATGGACAGGTGAGAGATGGACAGGTGAGAGGGCTGGGACATGGACAGGTGAGGGACAGGTGGGACCGGTGGGACAGGTGAGGGATGGACAGGTGAGAGGGGACAGGTGAGGTCACACAGGTGGGACTTGGACAGGTGAGGGACAGGTGGGACTGGTGGGACATGGACAGGTGAGAGAGGTGGGACCAGTGAGGGACATGGACAGGTGAGGTCCCACAGGTGAGGGACAGGTGAGCCCATATGGTGCTGCTGCTGCTGACCATGACGATGATGATGATGATGATGGCGATGGCGATGAAGTCAATGACGACGAAGCCACGACGATGACGCGGCCGATGATGAAGTCAATCACAACGATGATGATGATGAAGATGATGAAGCTGATGATGATGATGATGAAGCCGATGACGAAGAAGCCGATGATGATGATGAAGTCAATATTGATGACGATGATGATGATGATGATGATGAACAATGATGACAAAGTCAATGGCAACGATGATGATGAAGGCGATGAAGGCTCACCTGCGTTTGGCAGATGAAGGTCAATGATGATGATGACGATGATGACGATGATGATGAAGGTGAGGATGATGATGAGGATGATGATGATGATGATGACGGCGATGAAGGCTCACCTGCGTTTTGCGGATCCGCAGGCCGGCTGACGAGCGGTTCAGTGATGAAGATGAAGGTGATGATGAAGGTCAATGATGATGATGAAGGTCAATGATGACGATGATGATGATGATGATGATGATGATGATGATGATGATGAAGGTGATGAAGGCTCACCTGCGTTTTGCGGATCCGCAGGTCGGCCGACGAGCGG